ACTGGTAATGTATATGGAAATATCGGAAATGAGTTTAAAAATCATATCACCGTTATTGAACAAAATTATATCGCGATACATATTGATATTGAAGTATTGTCCAGCCCTACTTCAATGTGAACCTATTTATTCCAGTTAGTTAGCAAGGCAACATTTCTAGTTTCAAAATAATTACATTTTTAAATTTTATTTTAGATTTATTTAAATTACTGAAATCATTTTTAACAGTTTTAATTTAACAATAACAACACTGCAAAAATAGAAGGAAAATAAATTATGAATTACTATGAATTTTTATTATTAAAAATCCTCCATCTCTCTGTGATTGGGGCAAACTGCAGTGAAGATGTGGGCGACTCTTACACATGATAAATTGGTCTCATTACAAGAGCTAAACACACACACACACACACACACACACACACACACGCGCAGTCTCTACAGCACTGTGTGTGTGTGTGTGTGAGAGTGTGGCAAAGATCAGTCTAAACCTGACAATGACAAATAGGAGTGCAGCGTAACAGTCTGAACACACAAAGAGAGAGTGTGTGTGTGTGTGTGTGTGAATGAGTGTGTTTGTTCATGAGTGTGTGTGTGTGTGTGTGTATGTGAGTGTGTGTGTGTGAGTGTGTGTGAGTGAGTGAGTGAGTGAGTGAGTGAGTGAGTGAGTGAGTGAGTGTGTGTGTTCATGAGTGTGTGTGTGTGTGTGTGTGTGTGTGTGTGAAGTCAAGAGAGCGACAGTGAGCTGAATGAGGGTGATTCACGTATTTCATTCAGTAAAAAGCAGGATATTCATGCAGCCAGTAGCAACCGCATAGCGACGCCCTGGCAACAGCTCTGAACACAGCTTTATGGTGGTGAGTTTTGCACAGTCAATCATCGCAAGCATAAAATTTATTATTTTTTATTATTTCACAAGGATAAAACCACAATTAACACCATAAGTAATTCAGCTTGAGCCACTTAACCTGAAGAATCCATTCAAACTTTGTTCTGGTGTTTGAAAACTTTATAGTTGAATTTTGTTAGCATGTGACAACGACAGCGATGACATCATCATGCGGTTTCATATTTGCATATTGGTCATTGGTCATCTTTTTTGCATGTAATCACATACAAAATAGCAAAGTTGCTGCATTTCATTTACACATTTCAGTTTTAGTTTTAGTAATTTTAGCAGTTCAAGTTGGCAAGGCAACATTTCTAATATTCTAATTTCAAACATTTCTTTATAATAATTCAATTTTTTTTAAATTTTATTTTAGATTTTTTCAAATGCTGAAAACCATTTTTAATATTTTAGTTTTAGTTAATAACAACATTGCAAAAATAGAAGGAAATTAAACTGTGAATTCTTATGAATTATTATTTAATTAATATTATTTTAAAAAACTAAAATACGGCTGTGATTACATATATATATATTATTATTATTATTATTATAGCTAAATTTAGCCAAACACCTAAATTTTGCTAAAACTTCTCATTCGCTACCTCGCAAACTGCTGCTTGCTTCAATAAATGCGAATCTACTTGAAAAAATAGAGTACAAATACAGTAAAAACTGACTGAGAACATTTCAAGATAATCTAATTGATTAAAAATAATGTCTAAAGTAAGGTGTAAAAAGTCAATGAGACGTCGTCAGAAATATGGTGAAACAAACGCATGTGCGTGAATGTGCTTTGTCTGTCAGCGCATTATGATCTCCACCCCACAGGAAAGAACATCACACACACACACACACACACACACACACACACTCCTTTGATGTTGAGGAATGTCCTGCTCAGCACAATGTTCTCAAAACACCTCTGACCCTTCATGACCTCTGCAGAAACACACACACTCACTCACTCACTCACCACACACACAGAGGGGAGACTTTAATCCACTAGTGCAAAGGACTGTGGGTAGTATCAGTCCAAAAGCATGCACAATTAGTAGATCAGAATTCTTGTGAACTATACAGCACAGAGAGTAGTCTGTATACAATCACTAACCACTATGCTGCAGGAGTTGGGCAGGTGTATCTGAGCCGGGAAAGCGTGAGTTTTCTTGACACGTGAGTGTGTGTGTGACTGCGAGAGGAGCTGAGCGTTAAAGAACTGCTGTAGGTACGAGCGAAGGACTCGCAGGTCGCACACGTTATCGATGCGGCCGCCGTAGATGGCGTTTTCCAAGAGACCATGCACGAATTCCCACTGAAACGCCTTCCCACCTGAAAAACACACGCACAAAGAAAATACTATAGTACAATCTCAAACCAAAACATGTAAATACATGCAAATATAAAAACATACAAACCCTCAGATGACGAGTTCATGTAGATTACATAGAGATAAACACACACACACACACACACACATCTACCTTCAAACAGACGGTCAATGATCTCAAAGCCGGCTCTCAGGTCTGACAGAGAGAACTCGTAGAACTTCGTCCAACCCTGTGCAACACAAACACATCCTCATCATCATCATCAGTTCAATTCAACTTCATACATTTAGCCAATGCAACAGAAACTCAGACTCAAAGTCTCATAATCATGATTAAATATGGAGTCGTTTTTCAAAAGCTTGACATGAATTTCCATGGATTTATAAGTTTATAATACTTTATTTTATATACTTACTTGATTTATTATATTTAATTTACAATATAAATAATATAATTTATGTAATAATTAAAATAATAAATTATAATATTTCGACACCTATTATAAATTATATATACATATATATATATATACACACACACATAATGTATTACATTTTTGTACAGAGACAGCACTAGTGAAATCTGACTAAAGTAGTATCACTGTAAAATCTAACGAACAGAAAAGTCCCATGATTCCTGGAGAAGCAGAAATCTGCACGCCTGCTGTGATGACTGGGTGTCGAGATGCCTGGTGAAAATAACACCATGTTTTCCAATAATGGCTGTTATAAAGCTTTGATTTCCATTTCCTTCAAAAGGCACACAATCGACACTTCTGTAGCGTTTCATTTTCCACTCTGAAGTCCACAAACATTGTTAGTCAACATCTCTTGCACCAAAAAAAAGAGTCTGACTCTTCTCTTCTTTGCTGCTGTATCTTTGAGACCTATTTATGTAAATGACCTTTGCTAATTGCCTGACCTCTATGTACAGTTCATAGTCACATCAAGTCACTGAGTAAGAGTTAATGTGGCCATATGTTAATGAGCCTATGTGACGTCATAATCATAAAAATAATGCAATTTTATAGTTTAACTGCGGAGCAAGAAACTTCCTGTTTCTTTCACAAAACCCTTTCAAGAGACACCATGAATTAGTTTTCTCCTACGCAGCTTATTAGACTTTAGGAGAGAGAGACATTACAAAAGAGAAAAGCAAAAGCTTCAGTTAATTAAATGGAGCTCTTCAAAGGCCTGACGCGCAGTATTTTAATTCAGAGTCTGAATTAATTGCCCAAACAGATCCAAGAGTTCCTGTCTGAATTCCAGCAATGGTTTGAGTGTATATCGTGTCTGCTGTCATGTGACCGGTGTGTGTACCTGTGGAATGTAGTTGCGTCTCTCCTGACAGACGGCGTGGAACCAGGCCAGACATAAGAGCGACTGAGCTCGAGTCAGGTGACCACCTTTACTGATCTGCTCCGCACTCCAAAACTCATACGTCCGCTTCAGGTTCTTCTTGAGGCCTGGAGGAGCCTGAACACACACACACACACACACGTAACGTTATCGTTAATGGATGTGCAGTCTGAGATGCACCTCTGTTGACATAAATTTCACAATTCGATTCGATTTCAAACAACAAGTTTTGATTCGATTCAATGATTCAATATGGATTTGATTTGGACACTGAGTGTCTTTCCTGAGGTTAATGTGATGTTACGTGACGTATTGTTTACCAGCTGCTTTATTGACGTCTTTCCGGGGTTGAAACACTGATTTTTGATTACAGGAGACATGAATCATTTCAGTAAGTTTCTTTCAGCACCTTCTGATGTTCATTCATGTTTATTTGGTGCTTTAACTAGTAGTAAAGAGGAAGACAAGATCGGTTCACGGCTACAGTGATCTGTTACACCACATTAAAGAGGGTTTCTGCAGTTTGTATGAAGGTAAATTTAAAGCTTTTTAAGACCTTATTAAAACCAGCTAAAGAAAATTAAAGGAAACACAATACATAAATGTTCTCTAAATGCAAACGTCTACAATGAGAATCCAGCTTCCAACCAGTGTTACACTATTATAGTTTTTATTACTATTTTGAATTAGTTTTTATTTGTATATTGTCTGTTTTCATTTTAATTTTAGTTCAAATGTAAGTCATTTCATTGTGTTTTTGTCAGTTGTATTCGTTTTTGTTTTTTAATGTCTGTTTAATCTGTTAAATTTTTACTTCAGTTTAAGTTTTAGTTATTTTAATACATTAAGTTGAAGTAAATCAAAATAAGAAATACTGAATAAAATAAGTTTACTTTTTCATATCTTCATTTTAAGTTAAAGTTTATTTTTATTTAAGTAACTCTTTTTATGGTTTAATCTTAGTTTTCTATTTCTTAATGTCTTCAATTTGCATCTCAAGTATATGTATCTTGATTTAAGGATATTCAGATATTATTTGTATTGGAAAACAAGACAAAAATATGGAGGAAGATAATCTTTTTTTGCAGTGCACGCAACATTTAATGCCATCTGAAGACTTTCTGCTCTGATTTAAGACGTTTGTAAGGCCTGGAAGGGCAAATTAAGATTTTAAGACCTTTTAAGGCCCCCAGAAACTTTGATTAAAGAGCATCAAAATGACATTTTTTGAAATTTGAAAGCTCTGACTTTGTTTGATATCAAAAGTAATGAGTACAAAGCTTATTGCGATTATTGAATAAGAAGCATGCTAAAAATAATGTTTAATGAAGTTTTGTTGATGCAGCAACTGAAAACAGCAGAGATTAAAAGTTCAGGCTTGGGATTTAAGAATCAATAACGGTTCATTAAAAAGAGAATACATTACATTTGACACACACTGACCTCATAGGTGACCTTCAGGCTGGACTGGAGCAGTATGGGAGTGAACTTTGCATGAACCTCAGCAGTCAACCAGACTCTGAAGCCGGCTTTGGGCTTCATACTGTTGAGCTCCTGCACACACACACACACACACACACATTAGATGTCACACTACAATGAATTAAATCGATAAATGCAAAGCATCAAACCAATAACAATCTCTCCTGTGTGTGCGTGCATGTGTTTCATTCTCTCACAGCCTCATCTCATCGACTCCAAACCCATTACAGATCTGCAGCGCTACACAACACACACACTTACATTTTGAGAATGAGCAGAGAAATGAAAACAAAAAGCAATTAATGTATCTGCACGTAATCTTCCTCACACAGATTCACTCTCACTTTGCAACAACAGTCATTTCAGCTATAATTAATTCCACAGCACAGATTATAAGAGAAGACAGATATCTGACAGAGAGACAGAACTTCACAATGAAACAGAAGACAGACAGAGAGTTCAGACCTTCTCCAGCAGGGGGAGCCACGCCGTGACCAGGTGCAGGTTTTTCAAGCACAGCCATTCACCGGAGCGAACGCACTCTCTGAGCGTCTGTAGAGCCAAGTCAGCCTGACCTTGACCCATCGCCAGCTTTATTACAGAAATGAATACTTTTAGTCAAAAACGATTCATTAAATTGATCAAAAGTGACAGTAAAGACATGTATAATGTTTCAAAAGATTTCTATTTCTATTCAACAAAGAATATCAGTTCAATTCAACTTCATACATTTAGCCAATGCAACAGAAACTCAGACTCAAAGTCTCATAATCATGATTAAATATGGAGTCGTTTTTCAAAAGCTTGACATGAATTTCCATGGACACAGTGAAGTCATTCATCTTTTCTTTGGCTCTAAATTATTCCCAGTCTTTTCACAACAGGCATTATTCAATAGAAGCAAATGTTTGAAAGAAAACCTTTTTAAACACCTGACATCTGAAAAAAGATTTCTATTTCTATTCAACAAAGAATCCTGAAAAATAAAATGTATCACATTTTCCTCAAGAATATTCAGCAGCACAACTGTTTTCAACATTGATAATAATCAGAAATGTTTCTCGAGCAGCAAATCAGCATATTAGAATGATTTCTGAAGATCATGTGACACTGAAGACTGGAGTAATGTTGCTGAAAATATAGCTTTGATCACAGCAAAAAATTACATTTTAATATATATTCACATAGAAAACAGCTATTTGAAAAAGTTTTTTTTTGAGCAGAAGAGACTTCTTTCAAAGTCATTTAAAAATCTTACCGCCCCCATATATTTTGAATTAGATTTAATTTTCATATTTTAAGGTTTAATTTTAATTTTATTCAAAGTTTTAGTAATTTTGATGCTTTTGTTTTTTTTATTATATTTTAATGTCTACATATTTATTTTAATTTTATTAAATTTTAGTTATTTTAGTACATCAACTTAAAGGGATAGTTCACCATATAACTCCGATTGGATTCGTCTGAAAGAAGAAAGTCATATACACCTAGGATGGCTTGAGGATGAGTAAATCA